GGACAGGATCTCATGTAACCCATGCTGGCCTCCAACTCTGCACACCTGAGGATGACTTTTAGTCTCTTGATCTCTGACTCCATCTCCTGAGTGCTGAGGAGATAGATATGAACTACCACACCCAATACCCTCTGTTGCAATTTTTTTAAAAGCTTCGAGAGAGAAAGATGGCATGAGACAGAGTTCAAGTGGAAGGTTTTTTTATTAGGGGAAAGGGGAGGGAGCAGACTGGCCTCCAGCGACAAGAGCAGCGAGAGAGAGGAAAGAGAGGCAGAGAAAGGAGAGAGAGGAGAGAGAGAGAGGAAGTAAAAGAAGGATTGGAGGTGGGCAGTGTTCTTCTTAGTGGCTGAAGCTGAGGACATATCCTGTCAGAACTCTAAAGGCAGGCCAGTACAGATGCCTGATACTGACAGTAAACATCCTGAAATTATTAGAATCAGACTAAATTTGCTGAAATGTAGGTTTCTAGGAGAAATCTCAGGTGTGTGTGTGTTGCGCACACATGTTTGTGTGTTTGTATGTGTATGGCACATGTATGTAGGTTCTATGGAGGCCATTAAATCCCCTGGAGCTGGAGTTACAGATGGTTGCCAGCAACCCAACATGGGCGCTGAGAACTGAACTCAGGTCTTCTGGAAGAGCGGACAGCACTTCTAAATGCTGAGCTATCTCTCTAGGTCTCTAGGCCTTCAACAGACTTTTTTTTTTTTTTGAAAAGGGCACTGACTGGCCTTGAACTGATCCTTCTGATTAAGTCTTTTTTTTTTTTTTAAATAGGATTTATTTATTTATTATGTTTACAACATTCTGCCTCCATGAATTCCTGCATGCCAGAAGAGGGCACCAAATTTCATTATAGATGGCTGCGAGCCACCATGTGGTTGCTGGGAATTGAACTCAAGACCTTTGAAAGAGCAGTCAGTGCTCTTAACCTTTGAGCTATCTCTCCAGCCCCCTGATTAAGTCTTTATTGAAGCACCAGGATTATAGGTGCTTGTTATTGCACCCAGCTACTAACCTCCTTATGTCACTTTCAGATAATACTGATATTATCCCATGGGTTCTCATGCCTAGGTATGGGGTTTCCTGTGATGTGGAAATGCATCTGTGGCTGACTGTATCTGCAGAGTACTGCTGATCAAAATCCACTGCCTAATCCACTTCCATAACTGTGTCTTGCTATCTTTGTTCTCTCCTTGAGCCTCACCCAGGAGATACTGCACTATGACATCTTGTCTCTGGGCTCCTCTTGGCTGTGACATTTGCTCAGTCTGTCCCTGCATTAGACATTGGTCAGATACTTTGCTTTCTGCTCCTCTACTGGAAACTTCTTTATCTGATGATAAGACAGAGGTCATGAGTCACTGCAAGGATTGCAGAAGGGACCAGTGTTGTCAGACACTATCAGCATGACTTATGTCCTCGGCTTGCTGGCTGAGGTTCTACTTGTCAAATATCTACCTGGCAGATCATTTATGCCACAGAAACAAGAGTTGGAAGGAAGGCCTGACTGTGTATCTTTCTGTCATGGTTCTGGCTCTGAAGCCAGTACTCACAGAAGTGTATACAACTTGCATCGGCTGTACCACAGCACCTGACACCCGATTTCATCTGCCCACAGAAACCTCACAAGATGGGCAAAGTTATCCCATTCCATGGATGGGGAAGTTGAGTGTGTGAGGTTTCCCAGCCAGGATCCTGTTGAGCACCCGTTACTTGGAGCAGCAAGCCTGCCTTGGAAGCCACCATGCAAGGGTAAAATGTAAGGGTGATCAGGGCCAGTTTCTACAGGTGACCCATAGCCAAGTGGCAAGCATGGACAAGCCACTCCCAGTGCTTCTCTCTGAGGGTGAGGATGAGGGGGAAATGTGGGCATGGCCTCCTTTCAGACTGAGGGGCATAAAGCAAGCTAACAGAATCGAAGCAGCAGCTCACACCTGTGAACCCAGCATTCTGGAGGCTGAGGCAGGAGGATTGCTGCAAGTTTAGGCCAGCCTGGGTTACAGAGGGAGACACTGTTGGTGGAGGTGCTCAGCATGTTATGCATGACCTTAGCCCTGAGCTCAGATCCTCATTATCATGGTTTTTAAAAGCTGGGAAAGGTGTCCCTATAATCCCAGCTCAAGAGAGGTGGTGACAGGAAGATCTCTGGGGCTTCCTGGCCATCCAGGCTGGCCGACTTGGTGATTTCCAGGTTCATTGTGAATTCCTGTCTCCACAAGTAAAGTGGGGAGGCTTGAGAAAGAGACATTGTGACCTCTGGCCTCCAAACATATGTAGCCCTGCCCCCCCCATAAAGACTTTTTGTTGTTTGCTGGTTCAAACTCACTGTATAGATAACCTTGAACTCCTAATCCTGCTGCCACTACCCCTCAATGCTGCAATGACAGGCTTTCTCCAAATACAAGGAATTTTTCCAAATATAAGGTAATCCCAGTCAAAGAAAGCCAAAAAGTATCTGTATGTGGGCCCAAAGTATCTATAGCATAGAGAAACGAACGTATTGAGAAAATGGCTTTTAAAAATCCCTAGGTGATTGAGAGAGGGGTCACTAACATTAAGGATATCTGAAAAGACACACACACACACCTCATAAACTTATTAAGAATATAATTAAGCAGGTATGGTGGTGCATGCCTTTAATCCCAGTACTCAGGAGGCAGAGGCAGGCAGATCTCAGTGGGACCAAGGCCAGCCTGATCTACAAAGCAAGTTCCAGGACAGATAGGGCTGTTTCACAGAGAAACTGGAGAAAAAGAAGAGAGAGAGAGCTTGAATGGAGATGCACTACACATGGGGCAAAGCTCTGCCACAGAAGACATGTCATTGGCAAAATGCTAGTGTCAAGTGTGAGATCCCTCCCTTGGAGTAACTGGTCAGGATGATCTCCAAGACCCCTCAAACAGTACAAGCTAATGTTGCTCTTGATTGACCACCAGAACATGATAAGACCTTGTTGCTGAGGACGCTATACTTTGACCATAGGATATGAAGAAATCAATTAAAACTGACCTTTCATAGCACTGGGAGGCCCTATGCACACTGCTGGGTGAGAAAAGCCACCCAATAGTCTTTTGTAGCTGGGAATCCTCAAGACACTGTAAAGAACCATCTTGGGGGGCTGGAGAGTTGGCTCAGTGGATAAGAGTACTGATTGCTCTTCCACAGGACCCAGGTTCAATTCCCAGCACCCACATGGCAGCTAACAACTGTAACTCCAAGATCTAACACCCTCACATGTAGGCAAGATGCCAATGAAAATATAATAAAAATAACTATTTAAAAAAAAAAAACATCTTGGTTGGCTGGAGAGATGCTCAGAGGTTAAGAGCACCAGCTGTTCTTCCAGAGTAGCAGAGTTCAAATATCAGCATCTACATGGTGGCTTACAATCTCAATGCAATACCCTCTTCTGGCCTATATAGTGCAGATATACCCAGATAAAATACGCTCATACATAAAATAAATTAAGACAGACCACCTTGGCAAGACATATGTCCATTAGTGCAATAGTGGCATTACTATTATGTATGTAACCAACAGTGTCCTGTTCAGATGTAAAGCCTACTCCAGGAGGGACTCATGCCTCGTACTATGGCTGAAGAGATCATATATCCTGGGACAGAAGCAACCACTACTGTCTGTTCAGCTGCCCTCTAAATACGTTATCTTTACCTGAAGAGATCAGGGCAGCTCTCAGACATCAGAAACTCATCACTGTAGTGAGAGATTAACTTTGTCTGCATCTGTGGCACTGACCAGGCTCATTGGGGGTGGAGACAGGGGCAGAAGTGACCTGGGGGAACTAGGTCTGAGGAGGAGCCCCGGGAACACTCTCTTGCTTGCAGCACACAGACAGGAGAGCATCTGGAGGAACCTGATGTTCATCTGTCTATGTTGTAAGTTATTTCTCCTGCATAAACATCTATTTGACCTATTTGTTTGTTCTGTTCCTTATTGAACCACGATACATCACTCCATCCAGTGGACAGCAGTTAACATAAGACTCACATGTTCAAAGTGCACAGTGGTTGTGGAGTGACTGTCCTAAATCTATATCACACCATCTATTCAGGGCTTGAGGCATGTCACAGCAGAGCAGCAAGATGACAGAAGCCAGAGATTGGGGACACTACTGTGAAAATGTCTTCTGGGTATGAGCTTTGGCTGCCTGCACAAGATCAAGCCAGTCAACATTCCAGCAAGGATGGAAGGGGTTTATGGGGATCCAACATCTTGACTAACGGTGACTAATAGGCTGCTGGAGGAGGGAGAACCATTTTTCTGCAGGGGTAATAGCTTTCTGCACAGTAAGCTGTTATGGCCCCATACCCATGCATGTGTCAGGACTCATGAAAAAATAGGTGACTTGAGGTTAAGAGGGGAACATGTTGGGGAAGGGGGTCTAGAAAGAGATGGAGGGGTAATCAAAACATTGTCAGCCGGTAACTGTTCAGAGCCAGTGTAGGCAGGAGATTAAAACTGCAGGCTGGAGAGTTGGATCAGTAGCTAAGAGCCATGGCTACTCTTCCAGAGAACCAGTGGTCCATTCCCAGCATCCCCATGGTGGCTTACAACCATTTGTAACCCCAGCTCCAGGGCTTTCCTGCCCTCTTCTAGCCTCCATGATGCATGTTGCACACATACAAAACACATGCAAACACTCACACAAATAAAAATAAACCTTTTAAAAGTAATCTGAAGCTTTTTATTTTGGAGTTAGGGTTTCATGTAGTCTAGAACTCATTATGAAGCCAAAGATGACCTTGAACTCCTGATCTTCCTGCCTCCACCACCCATGTTTACAGTATGACCAGCAGAAAGATTAAATACTGACATGTACTACAGAGTATTCCAAAAATAGTGCAGGCTGACCTCAAAACTCAGAGCCATCCTCCTATCTCAGCTTAGTACTGAGATCACAGGTGAGACACCACTTTAAAACAGGAAAAAGACTTTTCCCCAAGATGTAAACACATTCAGACAGTCAGTCCTAAGAATCTAAGTAAATCACCAGTGCAATTTATTAGGTGTGATCATTAGGTGTTGAGGTGACATTTCCCATCTCTGTGAAAAGCTAAACAATGGAAGCATCCCAGACTGGCCTTAAACTCACTATGTGGCCAAGATGGTCTTGAACTCCTGATCTTCTGTCTCTACCTCCTGAGTGCAATGATTACAGGTCTGAGCCATCATGCCTGGCTCTGATTTGATTTTTGAGACAAGGTTTCAATGTGTAACCCTAGGCTGGCCTTGAACCGTCAAGATTCTATCCTGAGCTTCCCGAACAGCCCAGATGACAGACCCTGCCACCACACCCAACTCATGTCTGCAGTGTGCCTCACGTAAAGATTCCCTTTTTCACTTCTGTTTCACTGGATGCTAAGGCCCTTGATCTCACTCTACATAGTCACCAGCTCTGACTTGTGAAGTGCCTTTGTCTTTGCCCACCCACATCCAGGCATTCATTGCCCTGAATAGCTTTCCACCTCCAGAGTAGAGCTTGGGTCCTTGAAGCCCCAAGGCTGCCCAGCACTGGGGAGCTGCTGATGGCCCAACCTCAGTCTCAAGTTCTTTTCCAGCTCTGCTGCCACCCGGGGGGCTGCAGTCTGGATGGCATCCTGGATGCTGTGCAGATTCCATTGGGTTCTCAGGAGGGCATCATCCAGTCTGAAGAAGCCATCCCGAGTGCGCCGCACTTGCATGCAGACGGCGGTGGTCTTCAGCTCCAGGCCGATTTCGTGCACCAGCTTCCTCAGCTGCTGCTGCGTCTCGTGCATACACTGCACCTCTGTGGGACACAGACATGGAAAGATAATATTATCAGGAACAGCTCCAGAGACTAAGCTGATTTGGATTCACATTTCTTGGACTCCTCTCCATGAGGAACATCCTTCATGAGATGCCTTTTAGCTTTGCTGGAGGGCCTGGAGCATGGCAGATGTGTGGAGTGCAGGCCTCACCTGAACCTGCCAGGCCAGACTCTAGCTCTGGATCCCGAAGCTAAGCTGTGAGCAGGCTGGACTTCCAGCACAACTGCTTACACGTCATCTACTCATGCACTGGGAGTGGTGCACAAAGCAGCACTTTCACATAGGGCTTCCCAGCAGGGGCTTTGTTTTGGGCAGTGCTTGGGAAAGAAGCCAACAGAACACAGAAGAGGCTGGGGTAGAGCTGGGTGAGACTCAGGAAGTGACAGTCATGTCTGAGGGGCATCTATCAACATGGACAGGTAGATCCAGTCTCTGCTTTGTTTGTTTTGGGGGCGAGTTTCCAGACATGGAAACTCTGGGTAGCTCTAGAACTAACTCTGTAGAGCAGGCTGGTCTCAAACTAACAGAGATCCAACTGTCTCTGCCTCCCAAATGCTAAGATCAAAGGTGTGCACCACCAGCCCAGCCTCTGCTTCTTAAAAGGCTGGCTTCTGAGGCTTGGGAAGAGAAAGGAGGCACAGGACAGCCTTTGTGCTGTTACTGTGGGTTAGGTTGAACTTGGACCTGTTGGATAGAAGCCAACCATGGCTAGCCAATCAGGGCAGTCTATGCTGGCTTTGGCATGGCACACATGACTCCAAACCCAGGCCCCATCACATCACTCCAGCTCCCTGAGTGGCATACCTAAAAGGAACTCAGGAGGTGCAAAGTGCAGACAGCGGATGCCAGAGATGAGCATCGGGGACTTGTTCATGGGCCGGATCAAACCTTGTACAGCCATCTCATAGGCCTCCTGGGACTTCAGATCCAGGTTGGAGTACCTGGGAGACAGGAGGGCCAGAATGGAAGGCCAGTGTGGAGTACCTGTCCAACCATGAAAGGGTTTCACTTTTCGCTACATTCCTCACCCATCATCCCCAACCTCCACCCACCCTCAGAGCAGCCTCCCTTTCAGTCACCAAGAGCATCTTCTGCCAATTCCTGTTTCACCTATCACAGGTTGAGCAGTCCTGACCTCTATTTGTACACTGTGCTCTGCCCCCCAGCCACCTTACCCGAGGAGTGCAACCCCAGGGGACTGCAATGCCACCCCATTCCAGGGCTCTCCCCATGAAAAGCCCCATATCCTCCTGGCTCCCTCTTTCTTTGCTCACATCATCCTCTCTAACTGCTCACTCTCCTCTGCGGCTGTTATTCCTGCTGTCTTCAGGCCTAGTTCAGTGGGCACAGGGCACTGTCCTCACAGGGTCCCCAGCGAGACCACAGCACTTCCTCAGAACTGCCGCAGTCCCCACTGCCCGGGCCAACCTTACCCTGCTTTGCTTTGCTCCTGCCTCAGCCCTTCCCACCCCAAGCCCCGACTCTTGGCTTCTGAGCCCACTGGTCGTTGCAGTCCTGCCTTTCCTGCTGCAGGTACATGGCCCAAGCCTGGATCCTGCTAATCCTTAGAGAATGCTCCCTGAGCCATTCCTGCCGTCTCAGCAGCTCTGCCCCTGCTGTGTTCCTGTCCCACTTGGAACACTGTGCTCAGGTACAGGTCTGTAAGACAGGGACTTTCCTGTCCCATTCACAGACAGCTGGTTAATTTTCTGGAAGCCACAGGCTGATAGCCAGGAGACTCAGGAACCCCAAGTAGCGTGGCCAAGGAAGGACTCTCAGCCAAGCACACACCAACTAGGTGACTCCATCACTCATTCCTACCCCCGTTCTGTGCCTCAGTGGTGTGGGCTCCAGGTTCCTCCTCTTTAGATTACCTGTACTTAGCGGTGAGCTCTCGGATCTACTTACATTATCAGTGCCTTTTGGTGAGAGCCTTGGATTATAGCCAGGATCCGGTCCAGCAGTTCTCTGGTCACATGGTCTGGAGGAGGCATGGCATAGGGGAGTGTCAGTCTACAGATGGCCACAGAGGACAGACTGGGCAAGTGTCTTTAACCCCAAAGCAGCCCATTTTAAATATTGCCAGAGCATCCACTGGGGATGGGGAGCTTATAAGGTAGGGTTTGTTCATAGTCCTTTAGAAAGACCTTAATAAGGCTGGGCAAACACCTCTCCTGCCCTACCTCTGGCTCTCACCATATGTTGTCTTCTCTATCAGCCGCCCATCTTCACAGAAGTTGTCTGTAGCTTTGCCTAGAAGACCACGCACTGTATAATCCTGTGGGGATAGGGCAGGGAATTCCCCATCCTAAGCTCTGGAGCTAAGGAAGTGGCAGCCTGATGCTGGGTAGGGCCTTGTAGAGCTCCATACACAGCATGCCTGCTGCCCTCCTGCCCTGAGAGAAGATGTGGGCTCTGCTCTGGAGCTCAGGGTAGTACTCTGTGCTCTACTCCTAATGACCTGGACATGGTGCCAGCACTAGCCTCCACCCAGCCAAAACAAGCAGAGCGTCACCCCACATATGTACTGGTAGTCCCTGCTGAGTTCAACACCCACATCTAGGCCAGTGCTCGCTGCTCACAGAACTGCCTTCCTCCCACTATGTACAGACGACTGCCTCTTCCTGGGGTGATGAGGATGAGGATGACAGAGATGGCAATGACAGGGACATCACTTTAGTCCTCAGAGTGACTGTCTCAGGGAATGTTCTCTTCATTCCTATCACAGACTTGAGGAAACTGAAGCACAAAGATGTTTCATCGGGACATGGGTCCTATGGCTGGTAGAATGCGGATACTGCCCTGTCTTTTAGTGCTGGGTACAAAGAGCTTCGTGCATATCAGACAATTGTCTCACCACAGCCCTGAATCGGGATTGTGACCTGGAGCCTTTTGGTCCCAGATTCTGTGCTGTTCAGCACTGAAGACACAGACCTAAAGTGTCCCCTCAGCAGACTTCACAGTATCACAGTCTATGGCCCCACCTGGTTCTGGGGGAAGCCCATGGATGGGACAGTGACACCCACATGTCAGCCTACAGTGAGAATAGTGCTATGCTTACACTGTGGTATGGGACAGATCCAGGCTCAAATTTCAGCTCCTAAGGCCTTATGGGAGAGCAGGGAAATGGGGTGGGGCTTCCACAAGGGGACCCACACACAGCTAACGGCTGTAGTCAGGATAGAACAGTGCTGGTGGGTAATGTTGCATCACTAGTATTTCCTAGTCACAGGTGACAGGAAATGCTTGCTGGTGGCTTATGTCTTTCCTGTCAGTATGATCCCTGGGGAAGAACCAAGAGATAAACAGGCTGTCCCCACATTTTTGGACCACCATACCTTGGTGAGGTGAACATCATACATGTCAGTGAGCAGTCTGCATCCATGTCCCACGGCGAGCACTGAAAGGCAGGCAGACCCCTCTTATACCTAGAGTTCCTGTCCCTGGAACAAAACTTTCCACTCCCTACCCCTTCTGCTGCAGCCAGAAGGGGACACAGAGACCTCTGACATCCAGGTTAGAAGCCCCTATGAGCTTCCCAACACTCACAAGGCAGAAGCAGGCGGATCTCTGAGTTTGAGGCCAGCCTGGTCTATAGAGTAAGTTCCAGGACAGACTCCAAAGCTACACAGAGAAACCCTGTCTCAAAAAACCAAAACAACAACAAGAACAAAAAAAAAAAGAAGAAGAAGTAGCAGCCCATCTAAGCAGATGTCAACCCTGATCTCCAGGGCTTGGGCAAAGATGGAATCTGGAATCTGGCTCATAGTAGGTAATGGGCCTGAGCAACTGAGGAAGCTCCCAAGGGGGCTCTGGAACACTCCCAAAGCAAGAGATCACTGTCCCAGCTCCATCAAACTGCAATTACATTTGGGGTGGGAGAGGTGACACACACCTGTAATCCCAATACTTGGGAAGCTGAGGTTAGAGGACCTTGAGTTCCAGGCCAGCCTTGCAAGTAGACAGACATTGTCCCAAATAAAAACATATATCTTAAAAATAAAATAAATCCAACTCAAGGTGACACATGCCTACAATCCCAGTGTTCAGGAGGATCAAGATTAAGAGTTCAAGGTCATTCACAGCAAATTAGAAGCCAGCCAGGGCTGAGACCCTGTCTCAGAAAGCAAAAGTAAGTATATGGGTTTTCTGACTCTAACCTTTAATGTCTTTGGCCCTTAAGCTCTGCATCAGTAAAACAGATGAAGATGTTCAGGTCTGTGTATACGCACAGGAAGCTAAGGGCACAAAGGAAAGACCTAGAACAGTGGCCTATGGAGCCACTTCCTGCCTATTCCATGATCTGTTTATCCTCTGTCTAAAGAAATGAAAGGCTTTCCATTCACTGTTAAAAGAGGGAGAAAGGGAGGGGACGTGAGATCATGTCTGATGCCTGCACCTCACGAAGAAAGACACAGAACCAAGACTGTGGAGGCTGGACAACGAGGCTACCACATGACCCCGAAGCTACAGATGGCCTGTGACTCAGGGTTTTGTATCCACTTCAGCAATATCTAGACCCTAGCCAGAGGAGACAAAGCCACATGCCTAGGCTGCACCCTAACTTGATGGTGGCTCCTCAGCATTTACTGGCCAGGCCAGGTCACCTCAGCTCTAGTCTCAATTCTCTTCATTCATAAAATCACATAGCATCTATCACAGGTTTGGTAAATAAATGTCCCCAAAAGGTCTTGAACCACATGTCATGCAGAAATCCCTTGACAGAGGTGGGATGTCCCCTTGCACAAGTCACCCTCCCAGCTGATGAGACAGATGCATGGAGTCAGGGGAGAAGCAGTGGTGAGAAAGGAAGGTCAGATGAAAGGCGTGCTGGGCTCCTGACCCTTCCTTCCCAGAGCCCACAGACACACACCCAAGGCTGAGCCCATCTCTTACCAAGCACACCAGAAGCCTGGGCATCCAAGCGATGTCCGACACCAATCTTAAGGCTGGTAAATGCTGGGCCACGTACTAGAAGAAAAAAGCCAGACCATTTCCTCAACTACTGAGCCCTGGGGATAGCTTAGGCATGAGGCCCTCATTACTACAACAGAAGAGCCATTGGTCCTGGACCCACATGGTGGACTGAGAGAAGTGACTCTCAAAAGAAGACCTCTGACTTCCACTCCCATGCCTTGGCATCCATGCATATGCACACGTTCATGCAAATACCTTTTCTTTCTTTTAAAAAAGGATCTACTACACACACAGAACTATGGTAAGGAGAAAGGTAACAACATGTGTACAGAGTAGGTATTAACTAATTAATGTATAACCTAAGTCTTCCTGGAGTCCTCAGAGTCCTAGAAAAATTAAGAGTTTACACACTACACAGTTCACAGGTCAAATCATCGAGTCTACCTTATTCTGAGACTGAGTCTCCCTGTGCTACCCAAGTTGGCAGGGAGCTCCTGGGCTTAAGTGATCTTTCTGCTTTCAGCCACCCTGGCAGACAGAGTCTGGGTGTGTACAACTGCGTTCAATAGTGGGTTTGCACTTCAGTCTTAACTGTAATATAAGGATCCCTCCTTTCCATACCATCTAGAGTTGTTTTGTACTACAATGGAAAGGCGAGCAGTGCTGAGGAAACCACGTGGCCTGTAAGGCTTAAAATGTTTAAAATGTATCAGTCCTTGGGATAGAAATATAACTCAGGTAGGGATTTCCTCTAAAAGACAGTACCCTGCCTGACTCTGCCTTACCAAGTCTGTGGGTAGTGAGGGTGGGCACACTGGTAGCTGTGAGGGTCAATTTTTTCTCTTCACTGCCTTCCACAGGGCCTAGCAAGAAGCAAACACGCTTTTCAGGAGCAGGAGGCTTCGCTGCATTGAGACCTAAACACAACAGAACACATTGTCAACACTGTTCAATACCTGGGAGAAGGGTTAGGCCTATGGTAGTGTAGAAGATAGAAGCTGGGCATTGGGACTGGAGAGGCGGCTCAGTGATTAAGAGCAATGGTTGCTGTTCAATTCCAAGCACCCACATGGCAGCTCACAGCTGTTTGTAACTCCAGCTCCAGGGAATCTGACACCTTCAGACATACATACATGCAGGTAAAACACCAATTCGTGTGTGTGTGTGTATATATATATGCCGGGTGTTGGTGGCACATGCCTTTAATCCCAGTACTGGGGAGGCAGAGGCAGGTAAATATCTGTGAGTTCGAGGCCAGCCTGGTCTACAGAGTGAGGTCCAAGGCAGCCCTGTCTCAAGAAACCAAAAAAGAAAAAAAAAAAAAAAAATGGCTGCGTATGGTGGCACACTTCACACATCTTTAATCCCAGCACTCAGGAGGCAAAGGTAGTTGGATCTCTGCATCCCAGGTCAGCAAGTTCCAGGACAGCCAGGGGAGCTACTACACAGAGAAACCCTCTTGAGAAAACAAACGAACAAACAAAACCCACAAGAGTCCTTTAAAAAAGACTGGGCTGGAATCGTAACTCAGTTGATGGAATGTTCGCACAACATGCAAGATGCTCTGGGTTCTATCCCCAGCACCCACAAACAGAGGTGGTGGTACACTGGTGTAGCCTAGGCAGAAGGATCAAAAAGTCAAGGTTATCCTCAGTTTACATAGCAAATTTGAGATTACATGTGAGTTGCTTAAAAAACGAAATAAAGAAGGACGTGACTTTGTTCTGCGGGAAGGCTAAATCAACGTTGGACTCCGGATAGAACTAATGCAGAACCGTAGGTCCGAGTCGAAGAACTCACCTTTCAGCAATTGCAGCTCTACGGTCTTCCGCACGTGCAGCCATTTCAGCCCGGGAGGTTTATAGACTGCAAAGAGGCCCTGCAGTCGAGCCAGGCCCGAAGACCCCATGGCAGGAACTCAGCATCACCACATTATCCAGCTTGAGCTGTAAACGGAAGTGCCGCGTGGTCCTGTCCCAAACATGGTCCCTACTGTAAGTCGCTGCTATGTTTCCTCAGCCGGAAGAGGTTCTCATCTTATTGTCCTCCGGGGAGAAACATGAGGCGGAGAAGGAAATAGGGCCAAATAATGAACAGCGTGGCTCTCGATATGTTTTTTTGTTTTGTTTTTTGTTTGTTTTGCTTTTTCGGGAATTCCTTTCAGGAATTTTTGCTTGTTTCTCATATGTCCCAGGCTGCTCTCAAATTTGCTATATTGCCGAAAGTTTCTGATTTTCTAGTCTCTCCTTCCCAAATGCTGGGGTGACAGGTGTAATTCACACGGGGCTTTATTTTTGAGGCAAGGTCTCAAGTAGCCCAGGCTGGTTTCAAATTTACTAAATGGCCAAGAACCTTGAACTGATCCTCCGGTCTCTCAATAACGCCTAGCTCACACAGAAGTCTTACGTCAGTGGCAGACGTCTTTCCTTCTCAAGTCTGCCTTCGTATCACAACACTTCCGACCAAAATGCCATGAGTACAGTCCCGGTGGAGTCTTTTGACTTCTCCGGCCTCCGTCGTGCCAGCAGAGCCCCGCCCACCCGCCGCGGACATCCGCTGCCATGGTGACCCTGCTGCTTCGAGTCCTGCGTCCCCGCCGCAGTCTCCCGCTCCGTCTGCGGCTAGTTATAGGTGAGCAGCTCTGACCTGGGCGTCCGCGGCGAATGAAGGAACCGGGCTCCTCTCACCTGTCCCTTTCCTGCCCCGCAGGTGTACCCCTCAGGGCGGGGAGCCATGGCCCCCGCCTGCTGTATCCGGACCATATCCCCACCACCTCGCTGCAAAAGTTGTTGCTGGCCGCAGGCTCAGCGGGAATGGCGCTCTACAACCCCTATCGTCACGGTAAAGCCGTTCTCTCCCCGCCCTCGAAAACCCGGGCCGGTAATGACCTCTGTCAAAGCCTTGGTTTCCTGACCGTCGCCTACACCGAAAACTGGCTGCATCTGTCTCATAGTCCCCAGGAACGTTTATGATAATCAGGTGCCTGGTTCTAGCCAAAGTCATTGTAATAATCTGCTGGACAGAGGGAGAAGAGGTGAAAGTAGAGTGAAATCTACAGCTCTTCATTTTTGTAATTCTGGGGAAATTCTCATCCGTGCATATTAATCTCTGGACTGCATGACTTACAGGCACACACCACACTATAGCATTCTCACTAGCATAAACTTGGTAAGGTTAAGGGCCGTGTTCTTCAGCATTTTCTTTGCTGAATCAGTTCAAGACCACCTTGAGCTACAGGACCAGCTTTTGTCAAAAAAAAAAAAAGAACGGGAGAGGAAGACCTGTTTAGATAGGATCACATAATATAGTGACTATACCTGGACTCAAAACTAGCCAATTTTCAAAATTGTTGTTTTGTTGAAATGAGGTCTCATGTAGACTAGGTTGGCCCCTAACTCACTACTTAGGTTAGGATGACTTTGAATTCCAGATTGTCCTGCCTCCCCACCCCGTGAATGCTGGAATTACAGGTGTGTGCCGCCATACTCAGTTTATGTGATGCTGGGACTCAAACTCAGGGCTTTGGGTGTACTAAGCAAGCACTCCATCAGCTTAGTTACATAGCTTTTCATCACCATTTAATCTCAAACTTGGCCTGTACTAATAGTGGAAACATGGTAAATCTATTTTGATAATGGGATATGAAAGTGATTCACACACGCTGTTGATCAAATCCTCCACGTTCTAGTAGATTAATAATGTTAAGAATAACAGCTAGCTGTCAAATGATGGCTCGTGCCTTTAACCTAGCACTTGGGAGGCAGAGGCAGGAAGATCTCTGGGTAGTTGAGGCTAGCCTCGTCTACAGAGGGAATCCCAGGACAGCCTGTATTAAAAAGACTGACAATCTCAGAAAACAAAAAGATCCTATCCTCCATCTGTGCCTATTTCTGTTCTTTTAGACATGGTTGCAGTTCTAGGGGAGACCACAGGATACTGCACCCTGAAATTCCTCAGGGACCAGATGAAGAAGGATCCAGAGGGTGCCCAAATTCTCCAGTAGGTCTCAACTTTGCCTTGACATGTGGCAGGGGTCCTGATCTTTCTAGAGTCACACTGTATCAGTCCTCTTCCTGTTAGGAACCCTTCAGAAGATCATGGATTGCTCAGTACCAGGAACACACATATGTGTATGTAGGGCTGGATCCCCTGGCTTGTACAATATGTTATCTTAGCCCAGTGTCAGCCTCAAGACTCTGCTTGCATTAAGCTGTCTGTGTTAGCTGTGCCCCTCCAAATGTGCTGGCACTGTCCCCTCCCTTCAGTGTCACTTGTGAGTACCCTTCTGACATCTGTGGTCCTTCTTCTCTCACTAGACTATGACTTTGAAGGCACCAGCTCATCCATGGTTTATGATGGTCTCCACAGTCCCTAATATTACAGTGCTCCATTTGGTCATGTGGCTACGTGGATGTCCTATGGCCCTTTGCCTACCCCAGTGTCCTCAATGTTGCCCTTTCACTAGCCTTGGCTGACACACTCCCAGTCCTACCTCCTGCATTCTGTCTTTCAGAGAGCGTCCCCGGATCTCACTGTCCACCCTTGACCTAAGCAAACTTCAGAGCCTGCCTGAAGGCTCTCTGGGCCGTGAGTATCTCCGCTTCCTGGATGTGAATGTGAGTTTCCAGCCTTTGTACATCTAGCAGTCACCAACAAAGGCCGAGGGTGGCATGGGCATGATAGCCTAGGGCAGGACGATGCCTGAGCTGCTAACTCAGGCATGAAAGCTTTTCAAACATTTTTCTATGGAATGAACAAATGGGCTGGGAATGTCATCCCAAATACTGGCACCAGCTGGAGGTTATTCATGTCCTGTTGCATGCCAGCTGCCAGGCTGGTACATGAGCTAGCTGGATCCTCCCAGTGACCTTGTCAAGTATGTCTATTGTCATCCTCTTACAAGAGATGAGGACACAGGCACAGAGCCATGAAACAACTTGATAACTTCACAGCTAGTTCCACTCAGAGCAGTGTTCAACCCCAGAGTACTCTCAGAACCACTGCACTGTATCCCCCTGCTGCTCTAGAGCATAGCCAATGTGGTACTCTCCAGCACCAGACAAGACAGATGGTGGGAGGAAAGGGAGTTCCCAACTACTGAAGGACTCACCATTCAGCATCTGCCACCATCATTCCATGTGCCTGGGTGTAGCAAGCCAGGTCTCTGTTCCTGTGGAGCTTGTCCTCTTATGAGAGAGTTAATAAAGTAGTTTTTGAAAATGAAAATGAAAATGTAGTGGTCTGGAGATGTGTCTCAGTTGGTAGAGTGTGTGCACAAAGCCCTGAGTTCAGTCCCCAGAACTGCATGAACTTGGTGTAGAATGGAAGGAAGAGGATCCAAAGTTCAGCGCCAGCCTTACATACATAGTGAGTTTTGGGCCAACCTGGGTTACATGAGACCCTGCTACATCCACTTTTTTGAGGCAGAGTATTTCTTGAGGGCTTGTTGCGTGGGACAGACATCATTCTTGACCATGGGACACAATGAACAAAAATAGCCAAATGCCTGCTGCTGGGGAGCCTATAGTCTAGCAGACAGGCGCTCTGAAGGAAATAACATGATGGGGCAGAGGATGTCTCTGGAGGGGTAGAGGACGCCACTTATGGTAGAGTCAGGGGAGACCTTTCTTGAGAGACTTGGAAGATGAGGCATGGTCAGCTATGTGGAATTCTGGGGAGAATACTCTTAAGTAGGTGAAAAGGCTGCTGCAGGGGCTGGGAGCACAGCTCTGCTGGCACAACAGCTCTGCTGGAATAGTGCTTGCTACTTAAGCATGGGGACCGGAGTTTGGCTCCTCAGAGCCCATGTACAAAACCAGATCTGGCAGTTCATATCTGTAACCCTAGTACTTTGGAATTAAGGATAGCTGATCCCAGAACTTACTGTCTAGCCAGCTGACCAGAATTGGTGAGCTCCAGGTTCAGTTCGAAAACTAAGTTGGGGAGTAAGGACACAGGCAACACCAACCTCTGACCACACGCACATGCCATACATTTGCATATAAACACATACCACACACACATCAAAATATGAAAATCAAGTCCAATGCTATGATGTGCACCTACAAGCCTAGTACCTGAGAGGGTAAAGCAGAAGGTTTGCCACTGAGTTCAAGATCAACCTTGGCTACATAGGGAGTAACTAGCCCTACCGTACTCTATGGCAAGTTCCTGTCTTTAACAAGCAGATGGGATGGAGAGATGGCTTAGTGGTTAAGAATGTTTATTATTCTTTCAGAGGGTCAGAGTTCAATCTGCAGCGTCCACGTGGCAGCTTACAACCTGTAACTACAACTCCCAAGATACCTGACACTCTCTTCTGGTCTCTGTAGGCACAAGGCACACACATGGTACATAGGACAAGACATATACACATAAAAAACACCCATTTGTATATTAAAAGAAGAAATTGACAAACCAAAACATTGGTGGGTCTGGGGATATAGCTCAGCATGCATAAGTACGTAGATAATCAAAACACTCAAAGGCATGAAAGGCAAGGAGTAGACTGATAGTTGTGCTGGGACATGGGAAAGAAACTGCATTTTGTACTAGGAGCCATTAAAAGTCATGGGAGCCAGGCAGTGGTGCACACCTTTGATCCCAGGCAGGCCAGCCTGATCTACAAAGTGAGTACCAGGCCAGCCAGAGCTGTTAAACAGAGAATCCCTGTCTCAAAAAAATAAATAAATATAAAAAATGAATTAAATAAATAAAAGGCATTACTCCAAGACAGCAACCTGTCTCTTGCCCTCTCCTAGCACCTGTGTCTTGGCAGGGCAGTCTCCTGCCCTAGTTTCACCAGGATGCAGGTTATTTCATCAGTGAGAACCTGCCCCAAGTGCCTCTGTGGGAGGGACAGTGTCTGCATGCTCCACAGACCTTAGTCCTCTCACTGGGGAGGGGAGGAGTTCTATTAGGGCTGTCCTGGGTGCCTTACCCAGCATCTTCCTGGCAGACTGTGCTGGCAGTCTGGAGATGTGGCACTTTTAGGACAAGGAAATCGACTATCACAGAATGGTAAGGAATGCTTTGAGCCTACAGAGATTTAGATGAAGGTTAAGGTAAGGATATAAGAACCGAGGCTGGCATTTTTGCAAGATGTGGTCATCCTTTGGCAAGTCAAAGAAATAGAGGTAGTGCCTTGCCTCTCTTCCCAGTTTCACAGCCCTGCACAAATCCTCCCCAGAAACATCCTTCATCTTCAGGGCACTAATATGGCCAATTGATAATAAAAGTCAAGGTTGCTGACTTTAAAGGCCAACAGACTTTGTTCCAGGTTAACTCAGCTACCTCAGTGGTGTGATTTTGGGTCTCACACTTCACCTGCCTAACCATGGTTTTCTCATTTCTGAAGTTACTAATAGTGTCTGCCTCCTAGATTACTGAAAGACCAGAATAGGCCAGTATATGTAAAGGATGTCATGTGTAGTTCAGCACTGATGCAGACTTGGGAGCAGGATTGAGTAAGTGAGGATAATCCACTTCCTTAACTGTGCTCAGAGAAGTGCCTGGGAATGTACACATCCATAATCCTAGCATTAGAGGGGCTGCAGCAGCAGCAGAATTATCGTGAATTCATGGTCAGCCATGGCTACATACCAAGAGTCTTTCCATAAAACAAAAAGGAGTTATTCATCTGGGTCTTGGACCATGCACCAGAGTCACAACAGTGACACCTGTCCTCAGATGTACAAACTGAACTCAGGCCACATGGAATTAGCCTAATAACATTTTGGCATTTACTTAGATTTTTGAGACAGGCTCATAGCCCACGGTGGCCTCAAATTCTCTATATTGCTAAAGATGACCCTGAATTCATAATCTTTCTGCCTCTACTTTGAAACTGCTGGGATAACAGCTATGTGCCACTGTGACTGGTTTTATGCAGTGGGTATTGGGGAACTATACCCCCAGCTTCATGTCAATCATTAAGTTTATAGTTCAGCAACAGTATATTTATTTTGTATGCACAAATTTGTGTGTGTGCACACACGCATGTGTATATTTTGGATCCTAGAGGTTAACACCAAGTGTCTTCCTCAGCATTATGTTTCAAGTCAGCTCAAACTTAGAGCTCATCAATTTGAATAAAGTGGCCTGCAAGTCCCAGGTCACCTCCTAGCCTCTTGTTTCTGCCTTCCATGTGCTGGGATTACAGGCACATGTGCTGCAACTACCCTTTTATTTATTTATTCATTGATTGATTGAGTGAGTGAGTGAGTGAGTGAGTGAGTGAGTGAGTGAGTGAGTGAGTGGCTGCTGGGGATGGAATGCTTGTATGAAATCACCATTGACCAAGTCATCACCCCTGCTCCTAGTATTTTTATGTTTTTTGTTTTTTTGAGACAGGGTTTCTCTGTATTGCTTTGGAGTCTGTCCTGAAACTAGCTCTGTAGACCAGGCTGTCCTGGAACTCACAGAGATCCGCCTGCCTCTGCCTCCTGGGTGCTGGGATAAAAGGCATCACCAACGCCCGGCTAGTATGTTTATTTTTTAATACAACTAATCCTAAAACTTCGTCTTACAAAACAGAAAGTCCATGCTCACTCCCTCTTTCCTCACTAAAGCTATAGATTTCAACAGGCTGCCAGCATTGTGATTGGAGTAGGCACAGGGAGGAATCTTACCCTGTTGGTGGGTGTGGATGAAAACAGCAAGATTCTCAGATGGAGTATGAGTTTGGTGGGAATGGCTGGGAAGGAGTCCAAGTAAGGGTTGTTTTTGCCAGAGGGTCTCCCCAGATACAAGAGCACCTACCCGATTCGTGGACGATGAGGAACTAGCCTATGTGATCCAGAGATACCGAGAGGTGCATGATATGCTTCACACTCTGCTGGGGATGCCCACCAATATGCTAGGTGAGTGCTGGTAGGATAGCCAGCTGAGTGGGTAATGGCAGGGTAAGCCACCAGGTCTGTCTTCCAGGCAGGATCCCTGTTCATACCTCTTCTTTACCAACTAGCTCGCTTCCTGCCTTGTCTTCTGCATTATATGATGTGCATTCTGGTAGCATCCCTGCCATACATCCTCATCCTGCATACCTACCTGACCTTCACTGTAGGTTCCAAGGATCCCTGCTTCTGAAACCCATACAGCTCCTTGTCACCTGTACAGACCATTGTCAGCCTGGCCTTTGAGATCCTCTGCATGCTGTCCCCAAGATTCCCCACTTGGACCTTCCCTTACTTCTGGCCAAATGCCCACAGCCCACATAGGATGGAACTAGATGCCAGCAAACAAATCTTAGAAGTGTAAAAGGAGAACATGCCTCTGGGGGCCATTACAACATCATTTACTTCCCCCGCCCCCCGCCCCAACCACACACACATGCTCACATCTCTATGCCATCCCTTACCTCTAGGAGAGATTGTGGTGAAGTGGTTTGAGGCTGTGCAGACAGGCCTGCCCATGTGCATCCTGGGAGCACTCTTTGGACCCATCCGCCTCCGCGCTCAGTAAGTTTTCTGTGGGTAGAGGGAAACCTCAAAAGGTCTGGGGCTCCAGGAAGTGGGGAAGGGTACGCAGGTGCTTGGTGCCTCTCCAGGAAACAGAGATGGGAAGAATGAGGCAGAAAAGGAAACTGAGGCAATGAGCAAGCCTAAATAAACCCCAGGTTCTTTTGGGCCAGGCCTCAAGGGCTGGATCAGAATGAGCAGTGTCAACATGAAGGTGTGCAGTTTCTGGAATTTGGACAGCTCTATATTTCAATCTGAGCTGTGTAGTGTTCAGGGTGTGTGCTATGAGGCACTTAGGTCTGAGGGAGGGATGGCAGCACAGACTCTGCTGTGCCCTTGGGGACCTTACGCCTTTTCTTCCTGTCCCACAGGAACCTGCAAGTGTTGTTCTCTGAGCTGATCCCTTGGGCAATTCAGAATGGGCGAAGGGCCCCATGTGTCCTCAACCTCTACTATGAGCATCGCTGGGAGCAGTCTCTGATAGCTCTTCGGGAGGAGCTGGGTATCAGTCCTCCCCCAAAACATATCCAGGGCCTGGCCTAGTCTGAGCTGCTGCACAGGGAGGGCCTAGCCTGCCTCTCCCCACTGCCTTCCTTGGGACAAAGGAGCCCCTTCCACTGCCTTTGTTTCTTTTTGAACCTTGAACTCAGAGTGTCACTGTTCATAATTTTTATAGTCACTGCTGTCATGTGCTTTGTGGACCAGCCCAAGAGAGCAGGCAGGGCAGTGATGGGGCTGTGACTTATCTAACGAGAGCAATGTGTGTGCCTGGAACAGCCATCTGGATCATTCTGGATTGTTCTGGTCTGAAGACCCTCTTCTGGGTATTCTGTGAAACCCCGTGACTTGACCACTAACTGCATCCTGTCCCAAAGCCCTGAAAAGAATGGTGGGGAAGTGGGTGACATCTCTGCTGTTTGAATAAAGGCTCCCATCAGGCCTAGAGCCCACTAGTCTCCCTTGGCCTAGTGCTGTCTTTGCCTTAAGCCTGAGATACTGGTTGGGGGTTCCTTCCCAATTTGGACTTCAGTTGCTTGTCACTGTCTTTGGGCCTGAAGTCAGGCAGTGTAGGAAGCAAGTGCCTTCTATTTCTAAGCCAGCTTCTGAAATTAACGTAGAAAAAAGTGATAGTACCTATGGCAAAAATCAGAGGAAAAAGCTCCCCCCACCCTAGTAAAAACCAGTAAAGTGAACCAGTGCGGTGACTCAGCAGTAAGGGCACTTGCCACCAAGCCTGACGACCTGATTTTAATCCCAGAACCCAAATGGTGGAAAGAGAATGGTCTCCTACAAGTTGTCTACCAGTGTCTACATGCATGTGTCCATATACACTCATACAAAATGAAATTTCAAAACTGGAAGAAAATAAAACAGGGCCCAATAGATGGTTTACAAATGTAGAAGCACTTGCCTCCAATCCTGAAGATATGAGTTCCTTCCCCAATACCCAAATAGTGGAAAGTGAAAACCAACTTCTGCAAGTTATCCTCTGATCACTACATATGTACCATGGTATGCACGCACTCACACATGTACAAAATAAATATGATGTGAAACTTCTTTTTAAATTAAAAATGATGGGCTAGGGGGCTGGAGAGCTGGCTCAGTGGATAAGAGCACTGGCTACTCTTCCAAAGAACCTGGGTTCAATTCCCAGTACCCACATGGCAGTTCACAATGTCTGTAACTTCAGTTGAAAGGGACCCAACACCCTCACACAGACATATATACAAGCAATAACACTAATGCACATAAGATAAACACAAAATTTTTTAAAATGATGGGCCAGAGAGATGGCTCAGTGGTTAAGAACACTGCTCCTCTTAAAGAGGATGGGTTTAATTCCTAGCATCCTCATGGTGGTTCATAACCACCTATAACTCTAGTTCTATGATATGTTGTTCTCTTCGGATCTCTGCAGGTCCCAAGCACACTTATGGTGTGTATAAATACATGTCAATAAGATGTTCATCCACATAAATAAGTCTTTTAAAATGAAAATGAACATTAAGATGATGGGAATGTAGCTCAGGGGTAGAGCAATTGTCTAACCTACACAAGGCTCTAGGTTTGATCTCCAACACCACATATACAGACATAACACTGCAGATAGCACCCATACCGTCTGTGCTTGGACACTCAGGCTCCTGAGGCAGGCCTTGCCCCATCACTGACCTGCTCTGCTTGCTTTCAGCAGTTTCATCTCCTACAAGCGTGTTTTTCATCTTTATAATGAGTTTGGAACACCTAATGCACATGAGAGGGAGGCTTAGTAAGATGGTGCATGGCAGTACTTGTTACATCATGAACACTTAGGAAATGGAAGTTATCTTTGGCCAGGAAGGTTGATGGTGAACTCTGAAGTCACCACAGGCAAAGTCAAGAAGGATTGCTACATCTCACAGCTCCTAGTGCCAAAGGAGCAGAATGGGTATGGGTAAACGTGGGTGAGACTGTTAAACAGCTATGAGCCAAGCCCTGAGAGTCCTAGGGAGCCTGAACTGCCTGGGAGTCCACAGAGCTATTCCTGGTAAGTTGGGTGCTTTTCAATGTTCATGTTAGCTCTCATGCAGCTGTTACAGAGAAGCCACTAAAGGATGGCAGGGCCAAAGAGTCAAGGGAGCTGAGCCTGGAGCGACTTCATAGAACAGGGGATTTCCCCTCCCTCCTGTAGATAAAATACTCTGACAAACGTAGTGTAAGAGAGAAACACCTTATTTTAGCTCACTGTTTCAGCCCATCTTGGTGGAAGCTAAAAGCATCAGGGGCTTAATTAAAAAGGTATTTGGGGGCTGGGTGATGGTGGCATGTACCTTTAATTCCAGCAGAGGAAGGCTGAGCTCTAAATTCAAAGCCAGCTTCTCCTTCTTTTCCTTTCAAGACAGGGTTTCTCTGTGTGTAGCTCTGGCTGTCCTGGAACTCACTCTAGATCAGGCTGGCCTTGAACTCAGAGATCTGCCTGCCTCTGCCTCCCAGTGCTGAGACTAAAGGCGTGTGCCACCACCACCTGGTATACCAGGCTTTCTTTTGGGCTACCAAACCACTCCCAAATCATGACCTATTATTAGCTATGAATGCTCAGCTTTATGTTAGCTCTTATTTCAACCTGTTTTTCTTTACCTCCATTTTGCCTTGGGCTTTTTCCTTTCTTTATGTCCTACTTTCAGGGCTAGGGCTGCCTGGCTTCTAGCCCCAGGCATGTTCCTCTTTCTCACTCCTTTTCTTCTCTCTCAAGCCTAGATTTCTCCTCCTATTTATTCTCTCTGCCCACCAGTCCTGCCTGTCCCTCAACTGCCTAGCTATTGACTGTTCAGTTTTTTATTAGACAAATCAGGTGCCTTAGGCAGGTAAGGTAAAACAGTAGCACATCTTTACATAATTAAACAAATGAAGCAGAAACAAATGTAACACATCTTTACATAGTTAAATATTCCACAACAAGCCTGATCTACGAAGTGAGTTCTAGGACAGCCAGGGCTATACAGAGAGAAAACCTAGTCTCAAAAGAACATAATATGGACTGGGAGGTAGTGGTGCCCACATTTAATCCTTGCACTGGAAAGGCAGAGGCAGGCAGATCTCTGTGAGTTGAGGCCAGCCTGGTCTACAGAGCTAGTTCTAGGACAGCTAGGGCTACACAGAGAAACCCTGTCTAAAACAAAACAAAACAGAAAAGGGCAGGGTGGGGTAGGTCAGGGCTCAAGAAAGAAAGGAAGGGAAGGTGGGAGAGAGGGAGAGAGAAGAGAAAAGAAAGACAACTGGGGGCTGGAGAGATGGTTTAGTGGTTAAAAGCACTTGTTGTTCTTGTAAAGGACCATGGTTCAGTTTGGTGGCTCACAACTATCCATGCACCATGGCCAGGGGATCCAATGTCCTCTTCTAACTGGCATACTTTTCTGACCCCCACAGACACCCACATGCAGACAAAGCATTCATACATATAAAATTAAATACATTTAGTTGTTTCTTGGCCTTTTTGGCTAAGATCAAATGTAGTATCTGTTATCAGTTTAATATCTAATAGCTAATGTCCTCTATCCAAGGACAACATATTAAGTGGATTTTTTGAGCTAGGACCTGGAATTGGAGCTTGTTTCGCCCATTCCATTAATTGACCTGGTATTGTAGTGCCTCCAGAAATGATGAAAAAAAATTCATTTTTTGTTTTGGTTTATTAATTTATTTGTTACATTCCAATCTCAGTTCCCCCTCCTTTTTGTTTTTATTGTTTTTTTGAGATAGGGTTTCTCTGTGTAGCCCTGGCTGTCCTGGCACTCAGTCTGTAGACCAAGCTGACCTCTGCCTCCAGAGTGCTGGGATTAAAGGTCTGTACTACCACCGCCTGGCTTCAATTTTGTTCCTTTCAGGTTTATTATTATTATTATTATTATTTTATTTATTTATTTATTTGGTTTTTTGAGACAGGGTTTAGCTGTAGCTTTGGAGGCTGTCCTGGAACTCGATCTGTAGACCAGGCTGGCCTCAGACTCACAGAGATCTGTTTGTCTCTGCCTCCTGAGTGCTGGGATTAAAGGTGTGTGCCACCATGGCTCAGCAGGATTTCTTTTTTAATTATTATCTGTTTTATGTGCATTAGTGTTTTGCCTGCAAGTATGTCTATGTGAGAGTGTCAGGCCTCCTGGGATTAGTGTTACAGATAGTTGTGAGGCACTATGTAGGTGCTGGGAATTGAACCTGAGTTCTCTGGAAGAACAGTCAGTGCTCTTAACCACTGGGCTCTCGGAGAGTGATTTGTCAGAGCCTTGCAGCTGAGGCCAGGGAATGAATGCATCCTAGCTGCTTCTGACCAGAAGGCAAAGAAAACAGCTCAAGGAGAGTGTTAGGGCAGATAAAATGCCAGAATGTGACAGCCAGCCTAGTCCATATTTGTCTTCACCCACCCTCTCTTTGTCCAACCACACCAAGCAGCTTGGAGGCAGAACATCTCACTCCTCTTTGTTTAGCTTCTTGACCTCAGGCCTAACCCAATGTTTTGTGGGATACTGCCTCGATTTAAGCAGTGTGACAAGCCTGGTTAGAAGATAGCAGTTGGTTCATCAGCAGTCTCCTCTCCCAAACTCACTTACCCACTTATAGATGAGCTCAACAGTCAGTCTAGAAAGTATTATATTTACACTCATGGCTCCTGGTTGCTATAACATTTCTCATTCTTCCTTTTAGTCACTCAACCAGCATTTACTACATTACTTGCTTATCCCTGTGCATGCAAGCAGACAAGGTGTTTCTGTCCAGAAGTGGTTAGTGGTTATTTTTTTTTCCCTTTTGATACAAAGTCTCGCTATGTTATATGACTTACCCAGACAGGCCTAATTCTTCCTTTCTTTTTGAAAAAAATTCTATTTATATATGTATGTGTATGCATGCTAGCAGAGGCTAAAAGAGGACTCCAGATCTGCTGGAGCTAGAGTTATAGGCCATCATGGGCTGCTGAATGTTGTTTCTGTAACAACTCCCCAGCCCCTTGGTTTTGGTTGTTTGGTTGACCCGAAGGCAGGGTCACTCTGTAGTCCCCTGAAATTCACTATGTAGAACATAGAGACCTGCTTGCCTCTGGCTCTTGAGTGTGGAAATTAAAAGTATTTGTGTGCTATAGGGGCTGCATGCATGGGTGGTGGAGGGAAAGGTGTGTGTCATAATGCCCTGTTTGGGTTTTGTTTTGTTTGTTTGTTTTGATTGGTTGAGTTTTTGGTACTGGGCCTTAGGCAAGCCAGGCAGGGCTCCACTAAGGTATGTGCCCAGCCCTATTCTAATACTCCATGTACTTGGGGTGACTTCAAACTCTGGGAGCCATCATGTCTCCTAGAATTTGATTTATGTGCTCTTTGTGGTCAGAGAGCCTATAAATTATAATAATAAATATGTCAACACTGCTTCAAATGTGCCTCATAGATCTGCACACCAATGCAGTTAAGTAAGTCCTAGAGTCACACACACACACACACACAAACACACACACACACACACACACACATACACACACACTGTTGTTTTGAGACAGTCTCCCAATGTAGCCTTGGCTGGCCTAAAGTCATTGAAACCATTTGCCTCCTAAGTTTTAGAATTAAAGGTCTGTTCCATCATGCCTATCCAGTCCCAAAACCTACTTGTGTGTGTATCTTTTGCTTTTGTTTATTTTTAAATAATTTCTTATTTTTATTTTATGTTCATTGGTGTTTTTCCTATGTGTATGGGTATGTGAGAGTTTCAGATCCCCTGAGACTGTAGTTTCAGACAGTTTTGAACTGCCAAGTGGGTGTTGGGATTTGAACATGGTTTCTTTGGAAGAGCAGACAATGCTCTTAACCACTGAACCATCTCTCCAGGCCCCTGTTTGTTTGTGTCTGCTTGCTTTTGAGACAAGATTTCTCTAGAACTTACTATGTAGACCAGGCTGGCCTCAAACTCAGAGATCCTCCTGCCTCTGCCTCTTGAGTGCTGGGGTTAAAGGTGTGTGCCGTCACTGTCTGACCCTAAAAACCCACTTTTACTAATAAGAAGGAACTGAGATTTGGAACTTTGTGTTGAGAATGTGAATCCAGCCTATTGGTCTGTAATGCCCATGCCATAAGCATAGGTCACCACAGTCTTCTGTTATAACCCCAGAGACATCACTTTAACATACTATCCAGGCCCTCTGAAGGATGATCTCCTGAATAAACAGGTCCAAATCACCATCATACCAAAATTTCATTTGTAATCCCTATAAACAGACCTTGAAACTGCCCCTCCCCTCTTTAAGACCTTAACTGGGCTAAGTCATTGGAAGAGCTACTTAAGGGCAAGTGGCAGTAATAGATGAGGAAGCTTAGTCACCCCTTTTCAAAGGCTGTGAACCCCACTGGGGCTGCCAGTCTGGACCCTTGCCCACAGCTAGGCACAGGGCAAAAGGGAACAGGTTTACAAGGGAGCCAAAGTTATACTGTATCTTTTCAGTGGAGGTTAATTAATGTTAATTATGGACTTTAAAGTCATGCCTTCAAGGAGATCCTCTGCAGCCACCATGTCTGGCTCTTTTTGACTCTTGCAAAGGTGCTGAAAACTGTAAAAGTGCTGAGGGAGCAGTCATACTCAATCATGGTGAAAGAGCGCTCTGGGCTGGGCTAGAAGCCTAGTGTTCTGGTATTCTGCCAGAGTCTACAATGTGGGTTTTTGCGGGCTCACCTCTGCCAGAATCCAGCCTTTTCTTTCAGTGAGTGGTGGTATTTGTTAAATTCTATTTCAAGACAAGTGTGGTAGCTCATTCTTGTAATCAATCCCAAGGCTGAATTAGATTGACTGCAGTAAGTTCCAGGATGGTATAACTACAGAGTGAGACCCTATTTCACAAAATAAACCGGACTGGCAAGATAGCTCAGTGATGGTACATGTTTCTATGCCTGAGGGTAATACCTTATTTGATCCCTGGAGCCTGCATGGTGTAAGAACAGAACCAATGCCCCCAAGTTGTCCTCTAATCACACAAGACTTTGGCACAGGCGTCCACACACACAAATAAGCAAACAAATTTAAGAAACAAACAAATACAAAACTCTGCCTGAGTATTCTCGAATGCCCATGTGGGCAGGTATATTCTCCCTGGGTCTTCTGTTCTTGGAAATTGCAGAGAGAGATCTGCACATCCCCTGACCAGGGCATCTAAAGCAACAAGGCTACTCGGACTACAATTCCCAACATGCCAAGCAGTTCGGCCTACTACTCCCAGAAGGCCGCGAGGCAGCGGGGGTAGTGGCGCGCGCAGGGCTGGCGGGGCTGGGCGGTGTCAGGCGCGCTGGGGCTGGGTTACACTGTGCCGCACGAGCTTTGAGTCTCGCCCTCTGCGGGGACAGGGCGGAAGGCGGTGCTGCGGGCCGGCTCAGCCGGTGCGGGTGCGGGAGGTGGGCAGGGGTGAAGTGCGGCAGAGGTACAGACGCTACAAGGGCGCGGAGCAGGCCAGGCGAGCTGAGGGGTCGGCTGTGTGAGCCCCGGGGCGGCTGATGCCCCCAGCGCTCCGCACTCCGCTGCCGCAACCGGGCCGCATCCTGACCGGGCGCCGCGCCGCGCAGCCGCAGCCGGGTGAGCCTAGTCGGGGACGGCGGCTTTCTAAGCGGGGGAACGTGCCAGGCCGAGCAGGGGGAGACGGCAGCACCGGCTGGAGCTGAGGGGCGCGCCCTCCTTCTCTGTCTCCCAGACCTGCGCTCTGATGTCCTGGCTATCTAAAGGGGCAGGTCGGTCCACGGGATCCCTTCCTGGCCCATCTCCTCCTTGTAGCCTCCTTTCTGAGTGGCAATGGCAGGTCAGAGGGCTAAGATCTTGGCGATCCTGCATTAGTTATTCCACCCCTGGCTTACTGCATTTCTCCAAAAGATGGTCCTCCGTTTCGCTTAGAGATATTTGAGCTACTTCATATCTTTGACCTTCGGCTCTTCCCAAGAAAAGGAAAACCCTACGAAAAGCAACCCATTAGCTGTCCTCTTGACCAAGTCCATAAAGAAACAGGGATAGAGTCTGGCCTTAATCCCTGCCCAGTGCTCCAATACAGCCTTTCCCCTTCCCCTCAACGCTAGTCCCCAAAGAGTCATCTGAGTGGCTTGTTGAGTGTGTGGGTGTAGGTGAGTATTGTGCTTTCCAACAGCCATCTCCTTTCACCCTACCTTGGGCTGTCACCTCTCAGGCCCCTTCAGCCTCTAACCCATTTGCTGGCTCGCCCTCTATAGACCAGTAGAGGCACAACCTGTAATCCGTGGGCAGAGATTGTGCAGGGCACCCTTCCCAGGAAGCTGCCCTTTTGGGTGTTGTCATCTCCAGAACCTCCTGGAGTCCCTGGGAGAGGAGTCAAGCCAGAGGCACTTATATCAGTGCCCACATCCCAGCTATCTTGGTTAGGGTATTTGATTATAGGTGAGTAGATTGTCCTATTTGTGTTGGAAAGGGTCTAAGAACAAGTCTTACTAACCCAGTGCATAGAGCCAAGCGCTGTGACCTGAAGTAGGAAAGGGGCTAGCCCAAGGTCACTTGACAAGGTGGCCAGAGATAGAACTAGAAGCTAGACCATCCTCTTGCTTCTTAACCCCGGACTTGTTTGGGTTTGAGACAGGGTTCCTCTGTGTAACAGCTCCCCTGGCTGTCCTAGAACTCATTCTGTAGACCAGGCTG